AGTGCTGCCGCGGGGAGAGGTCGGGGCTCGGGGTGGGAGCCGAAGGCAGGAGCTGATCAATCGCTTCCGTTGAAGTAGGGATGTCTGTTTTTACAAATAAAGTTCTTCCCTGGAAGTCTGAGTCAGCCCTTCCCCTTCCCACCCTGTGAGACCTGAGCTGCTGCCTTCAACTCGGCTTAAATCACCACTGTGGCAACCACCTTCTGTCCAAGTGTTGGAGCGGGGTGGGCCACCCTGGGGCAGCTCAGGAGCCCCCAAAATCAGATGTCTGAACCCCACTGGACGTGTGGCAGCAGGGAGAGCCGGGCTGGTGGGGTTACCCAGGTGCTGTGTGCTTGTGAGGCTAACACTGTGTCCTCCCAAAGGATCATCTTCTCCACCCCGTTTGCTGTCATCTCCTACTTCCTCATCTGGTTTGTGCCAAACATCTCCAGAGGTCAAGTGATGTGGTACCTCGTCTTCTACTGCGTCTTCCAGACCCTTGTGACGGTGAGCTGGGCTCTGCATGCCCCAGGGCCGGTGGGTGAGGGATGGAAAGGATGAATCCCTGCCTTCGCCTTGCTGAGCTATGCAGAGGAGCAGATTCCCATCCCTGAGCTCATTCTCCTCGTGCTGTTGCAGTGCTTCCACGTGCCCTACTCGGCGCTGACCATGTTCATCAGCAGGGAGCAGAGTGAGCGGGACTCGGCCACTGCTTACCGTAAGAGTGTTTCCTTCCCTTCCTCACCACGGCTGGGGGGCAGCTGGTGCTCAGCTCCTGTGCTACAGCTCTCACGGGGGCACAATCCTCCAGCTGACCTGCTGGAAGGGCTCATTTGATCACACCCCACCCCAAGGATGGTGTGTGGGGAGCACCATTCAGGGCTTGAATTGCAGCTGGTTGAGCTCTTCCCGTTCCTCTTCCCCGGCTCCTCCAGCAGACCTCCTTGTCCAGTCCAGTGAGAGCTGCGCTGATGGGGAGGTGGTCCCTGTTATGGCCAAGTGCCTGGAGCAGATGGTGGAGGATCTGAGCTCCTGAGCCTTTCCTTCTGCTCTGCCATACAGCAGTGGGAGCAGCATGACCGAGTCTTGGCCTCTCTCCCTGCCTCAGTTTCCCCCAGCAGCCACTTTCCTTCTTTGCGGCTTTATCTCCTGGTGATTTGGAGGGAACTGCAGGAGAGCTGGGCTGGCTCGCTTCCCCTGGTGAGGGGCAACGAATCACAGCTGGGGAGGCTCTGCTGTGGAGAAGGGTTTTGCACCCACGCCCTGGGTGCCCAAGGGCTGTGCTCAGTCCCGCTGGCCTCTCCCTCCAGGTATGACGGTGGAAGTGCTGGGCACTGTGTTGGGCACCGCCATCCAGGGCCAGATCGTGGGCAAGGTGGTTACTCCCTGCATCGAGAGCCCTTTCTTCATCGGCAAGACCAACTCCTCAGTGGCCATGGAGGAGCTAAACATGACCCACGACACCGGGTCGCTCACGGACACGGTACGCTGGGGGGGCTGCTGGCAGCCCCTGCCATGCTTCCCTGCCTTTTTGGCCAGGCTGGCTCCTGGATGAGCCCCTTCCCTCACCGCTGCCTTCTCTCTTGCACAGAGAAATGCCTACATGATCGCTGCGGGGGTCATCGGGGGACTCTACATCCTCTGTGCCGTGATCCTGTCGGTGGGCGTGCGGGAGAAGAGAGGTGAGGCTGGAGACATGCTTGGGATACTCCAAACTTGTGGAAATGCTGTAGCTCCTGCCAGGAGCTCCCCAGAACTCTTGGCCCCTCGTTTGTGGGTCAAGCCCCAGAGGAGAGGGGCAGATAGAGCTGAGGTCTGAGTATGAGGGCTTGCAGAAGGTGCTGCAGAGGGCAGAGCTGTGGGCAGGAGGCCAGAGCATCTCTGGGTCACGTTACAGCACAGCTCCGAGGACTTAGCTCTCTGCTCTGCGCTGTCAGAGATAACATTTATCTCACAGAGTTTTGGCTGGCCAAGGTTGCTAGTGCCAACTGGGGCATCCCGGGGCGAGGCGATATCCAAAGTCCAGTAGCCTCTGTCCTTCCCTCCCTCTGCCTTGCGACCATCTCTGCTTATGCCAGGCGAATCAGCCAGGCCATCCTCTCCCCTCCACGGGGCCGAGGGACCCCCGTGTGAGGGCAGGGAGGTCCCTGCAGGTATTGCCCTGACTCCCTTGGGGTGGGATGCTGTAGGGGGGCAGGGGCTTGTGCAGGGTGCTCAGCAGCAGGCATGAGGCTCCGCACCCTTTGCACCCAAGGGTGCCGTTTCAGTGGGTCTAACGATGGGCTGATCTGTTCTGCTCCCCAGAGTCCTCTGAGCTCCAGCCGGATGAGCCCGTCTCCTTCTTCCAGGGGCTGAAGCTGGTGATGAACCATGGTGCCTACATCAAGCTCATCGCCGGCTTCCTCTTCACCTCGCTGGCCTTCATGGTAAGCACAGCTGGGCTTGGAGGATGGGGGAGAGGGAACGGCAGCAGCGCGGCTTGGAGATGGCTGGGGGACGAGCAGCGTAGGGCCCCAACAGGACCCTGGTGGGCTGGGAGCACATGAGGTGGCAGCTCGGTGAGCCGGAGCTGCCCCAGGCAGAGAGGAAGGATGTGGCCTCGTGCACTCGGATGGGTCGGTGAATGGCCGCTTTCTTCCCCTGCTCACGCTCTGGGTGCAGCCTTGGAGGAGGAGCGCGTCCCTCCGGGGTGGCTGGGGTGCCCGCTCCCCCCTAACCACCGTCTGCCTCCTCCGCAGCTGCTGGAGGGCAACTTTGCCCTCTTCTGCACCTACACCCTGGGCTTCCGCAACGAGTTCCAGAACATCCTCCTGGCCATCATGGTGCGTACAGCCTCGTCCTGGAGCCCCTCGAGGCCGGGTCTGCGGTGGGATGTGTGCTGAGGGGTCCCCCAGGTCCTCCCCAGGAGCTGGCATGGGATGGGTGCTCCGTTGGCAGAGGGGAGGGAGGCTGTGGGGCTGCGATAGTCCACCGTGGGGACAGTGACTGAAGGTCCTTGGGAGGAAGGGAAGGAGAAGGAGCTGCCAAACGTCCGTGTTTACTGCCAGGAAGATGGAGCAAAACAGCTACTGGAGAGCCTTTTCCATCTTGCCTCATCCCTGGGAGCCTGTCCCACCCTCCCTGCTTGATGGGGTTGAGAAATCCAAGGTGCCAAGGTCCCCAGAGAGCCTGGCTCTTGGCCATGCTGGGTGCAGGCAGCAGTGATAAGATCAGGTCCCTTCCCTGCACCAAGGATCAAGTCAGGTTCTCCCTCTGTTCGGGCAGGGACCTGCTGGGTGCCCTGAGGACAGCGCTGCTGGCTACCGGGGTGCTTTGCACCGGGGGGAGGAGGTGGCCCCACGCGCCTGCTCCAATTGCGAGCTCTCCTTCCCGGGAGCGGCGGTTGAGGGCAGTAGTAGGCGGTGTGGCTGCGTGCCAGCCCCGGGAGCATGTGGAAATCGGAGGTGCTGGAAATGTGGTGGGGGAGGCTGTGCCCGGGAGCTGCTCCTTGCTGGGAAGAGCTTTTCCCCCAGAGAAGAGCCTGGCCAGCAAGTGACACCAAAACCTCCTTCTCCTCCTGTAGCTCTCAGCCACCTTGACCATTCCCCTCTGGCAGTGGTTCCTTACCCGCTTTGGGAAGAAGACAGCTGTCTACGTGGGCATCTCGGTGAGTGGGTCCCCTCGAGCGCAGAGGTGCACGTGAGGCTGGGGTTTCCTGCATGGGGTGAGCAGAGCTGTGTCCCCCTGAGAGAGCCTGGAGCTGGGCAGTGGCTGCTGCTAATGATGATTTGGTGCCTGTTCCTCATCCTGCTAATTGTGCTGTCGTGGATGTGGCCAAGGCCAGCAGAAACGGCTGCTGTGGGGCTCTGGGAGGAAGGCTGCGCTGCTGCTTCCTCGGCCGTCCCTGCGATCGGAGGGCTGGCATGGACAGGAGGGAAGAATCACAGAATCACAGAATGGAAGGGGAAAGGCCAAGGAGTCTGGGTCAGGCGCTGCTGACACAGCCTGGTTTCTGTCCCCTATCCAGTCTGCCATCCCCTTCCTCATCATGGTGGCTGTCCTGGACAGTAACCTCATCGTCACCTACATCGTGGCCGTTGCAGCTGGGATCAGCGTCGCAGCTGCCTTCCTCCTGCCCTGGTGAGTGCGAGGTCCTGGGGCTCTCGGCACTGTGCCCCGAGAGCTGGGCAAGGGGCTTTCAGGGCCTGCCAGAGTTGTTAGAAATCCTTGGAAGGCCTTTTTGCAATGTTTTCAGCCCAAGATGGGGCTCTTGGAGGGAAATCCTCTCAGCAGGGAGAGGAGAGGCTTTGTTGTCTCAGTCCTGGTGTTCACCATCCGCTCTCTGCACAGGTCCATGCTCCCAGACGTCGTAGATGACTTCAAGCTGCAGCACCCCAATTCCCACGGCCATGAAGCTATCTTCTTCTCCTTCTACGTCTTCTTCACGAAGTTCACCTCTGGGGTCTCCCTGGGCATCTCCACGCTCAGTTTAGAGTGAGTTCTTGCACGGGAGCCAAGGGGCAGGGAGGGAGGCAGGCAGGCAAGTCTTGCACCTGCATCCAAGCATCTCTGCTTCCCGAGGGCTGGGAGGGGGGGGGTCTAAATCCAGCTGGGGTTCTGAACCTCTCCCTGCAGGGACAGGCTTTGCCTCCTGCAAACTCGGTTTCCTTTGCCTGAAGGTCCCCTTCTGTCCACAGCTTTGCAGGGTACCAGACCCGGGGCTGCTCCCAGCCCAGCGAGGTGAACTTCACGCTGAAGATGCTGGTGTCGGCCGTGCCCGTGGGGCTGATCCTGCTGGGCCTGCTCCTGTTCAAGCTGTACCCCATCGACGAGGAGAAGCGGAGGAAAAACAAGAAAGCCCTGCAGGACTTAAGGTGAGCATGAGCTTGTGCTATGGAGGTAGCAGGCACAGCAAGCCAGTGAGGTGTGTGGGGGCAGGATCAGGCCCAGGCGGGTTGGGACACACTGTGACTTGTCCAGGAATCCTCCAGGACCCGTGGGTGGTGGGGTGAGGGAGAAGGGCTGGCTTGTTTTCCCAATCCCGATGTCCAAAGAGATGGCGTGAAGTGTTTGAGATCAGTGGGGAACCCGCCCCGGTTGCTAAAGAAAACTCTTTTGGGGAGTGCGCAAGGCAGTGCCGTCCCTTGGGAGCCCTTTGGAGGCTCCTCAGCTCTCAAGGCAGAGCTCTGCTCGGAGGCAGGGTTTGCTCCGGGGCTCACTCCGTGCCTCCTCCCCAACCCTTTGCCCCCAGGGAGGAGAGCAACAGCAGCTCGGACTCGGACAACACAGAACTGGCCAGCATCGTGTGACCCCGGGCTGGGTCTGTCCGCTCACGCCGGGGCTCTCTGGAGGACTCGGCCCCTCGAGGGCTGGACCAGCCTCGTGCCGCTGTAGGTGGGCACCGTCAGAGCGCCTGGGAGAAGCCGTGTGGAGCATCCACCGACTCGAACGCGAGATCTGTGCCGGTCTTGTGCCTTCCACGGGATCCACAGAGCGCCGGTAGTGTACATTACACAAATTGACCCTGCGGTACTTGCGTGCCTCATGAGAAACAAGCACTATTCCCAGCCGGGTCCCGGGGAGCAGAAAAGCCTGGAGCGGGATCCCCTTCCTCGTAACACTCGTGCCTGCTGCCTGTCTGTGCCCGGCCGGTTGCCCGTGGGACCGGGGGGTGATGGTTGGTGTACATTACACTGTCACTGTGACCGCGCCAAGGACGTGAGCTCACCTCTGCTGTCTGTATGTGACACTAATTTGGAAAGCTGTTCGTTTTTTTAATAGAACCTGATTAACTTAATGATGTAAATATGAAACTATTCCCTATTTGTATATATAGAAACCGAACTCAAGGACCTGTTAATATTAATTTACATAAAAGTGGGGGAAGTCAGCAGCGTGGGTGCAGAGAAATTGTTTGTTTGTTTGGCTGCTTTTTGTGTGGATGTCAGCGAGCCCAGGGTCCGTTTTCACGCCACGGGGCGCAGGATTGACTTCCCTGGAGCCGAAGGCGCAGGA